GTACAGTGCTTATTTTAAACTTCAACGTTTATGTAACTTGAAACATGTTTATTTTTAAAATTGGAAAATAAAATTGTAAGTATTCTCTTACTCGATTGAGGTCTGTTTTACACCTAATTTCAAGATAGCAATGCGTCGCATATGGGAAAAAATAGGCAAAATTCATGTCCTTGGATCCTGGCTGTGGATCCTAAGTCATGTTTACCATTTCACAGTAAGCGCCATTCTCGGTTACTAAGCTAAGCATTTTCACATATTCTCTCATTAAATCCTCGGGGAAGTTGAGAGATAGAGATCACTATCCCATTTTCCCATTTTATAAACATGGAAGGGGGCGGAGGGAGGTAGAATAACACCTAAATTCAGTTACACAGTAATGAGTGAGCAGAGCTGGAATCCACACCCAGACTTGTCGGACCCCAACTGACAAACTCTTAACTTTATGGCAGCTATTACCTACCTAGAGGCAACATATCATGTGCTAACTATAAACACACAGATATCATAAAAGCAGAGGAATCTAGCTAAATGGTGGAATCAAAGTACAATGGTCCAGTCTTGTCATTTAATAAGAGGCCCACAGAATTCTATACAAACCAGACCTACAGGCTCGGAGTTTGGTGCTATTTCACCATGAGCAAGTCTTAGTGATGAGTGACATTCTGAATCCAAGATTTTTAAACCTATATTTTCTGGGCAGTTCTTTACATCCCCGTGAATATTTTGAAACTAATACAAAATAATATTGTAAACATATTGTAATTACAAAATACTTTACAAACCCGTGAATATTTTGAAACTAATACAAAATAATATTTAATGCAAACTGTAATTACAAAATAAACTTTTAAAAAAAGATTTTAAACCTGTTTTTCCCCAAAGTTTTTGAACATTGGTTAGACTAAAAGCATCTCATTTATGGCCACAGACTATGCCTGGTCAACAAGTCATCTAACTAAATGAGTAGGGCATTTTCTCATCAACATTACATTGTGCGTGTGTGTGTGCGCACATGTGCACACCTCTCTGTGTTCACGTGGGTGTTGAGGTTGGGGGATTATGAAGAGATCCTCAAATCTCAAGACTTATTAACAATGTTGATGGTATGGTTTTTATACATGAAAAAGGTATAGCACGTTATGTTTTAAACATTTATCTACTTAAGCATCATTTTTGTTGCTGAGAATTTATCAGGCCTTAACAAAGTTTACGCTGAATATTCTGAGTTTCCATATTACTTGATAAAATAAAATTTAA